GGCTATAATTACATTCGTTCGATTCCGTAGGCGATAAGGAACAATTTGTATATCTCAGAATTTCGGAAAAGTCCCTAGTTTTCGAGAAAATCGAGATTTTATTTTTTCGTAGTTCCGCCGCTCGCCGCTAGATGACGCCACCTGTACCGTTTTCGACCGAATTCGACAAAAATTCATTTTCTGGCTTTATTAGGCATCAAAACGCATCAAACCCTAATAGAAATTTGTTTCTAAATGCCTCAGGAACCGTACTACGTCGACAAAGTGCCGAAATATTCATTTCTTTATTTTCCTTATATGCGTATTCGGACCCTCACTTTTTAGGATCAGTTTTTTCGGTGATTATTCGTTCGTGGCAAGTCCGATTAAAATTTTTTTTTTCTATATACATCTGGATGTATATACGCACGTGCATGCAAAATTTAACGAGAATTGGTTGAGTGGTGCAAAAGAAAAACGCGGACAAAGAAGTTGGAAAGTCAAGTATAAGAGCTTCGCTCGCCTTCTGCTCGCTCGCTCAATTACTAATTATGAAATTTAAACCTTATCTATCAAAAAAGGAACATGTAAAGTATGTAATTATTTTTTCGAATATCGGCGATAAAACAAGTTATCAATATTGCAACGTAACAGAATTGTTATGAAGAATTTATGTTCGTTTTGCGCATGTCGGTTCTGATTGAATATTCAAAACTTTATATATTCATGAACATATCTGGCTTCCTTAGAAAATGGTAGCCACGAGAAACCTTGGACTATTTAGCCCCTACCACCAATAACGTACGCGTATTATCACGAATTGTGTTTAATTTACAATATACTCATCCGAAATTTGTGGGTGATAAAATTTTTGCAAGTATACATTTGCTCTTAGAAATAAGTTGTTTTATTATGCACTTTACATCTCAAAAAGGAAACTATATCGGATATACTTGCATTTTTAATCAAAATTTACATTCACAATAAAAATGCAAAACACAATAATTTATGGTAAAATTAATTTCAAAAGTTGGAAGAAATTTTTCAAAATTTTCAAAAGTATTTCAAATTACATTTTGGCGCTCGTTGGCTGTAAATTATACCACTGGCGCCATCTACTAGGGAGACGTAGGAACTAATTAGCTTCAAAAATTAAAAATAGCATATGTGGCGCCATCTCTCCGGCGAATGAGGTGAACTACACGGTTTTCAAACAGCACCTTCGCTAGTTCCACCTTCCACCGCTAGGCGGCGCTCGAGCATACAACAAATACATATTTATTAGTTTAAATTCTATATTTTCTCTTTCTTTTGTAATATTTTAAGAAATAATGGTATTTTTGTAATTTTTGACGTCGTAGAAGGCTCTGGTAATTCTAGAAAATCGTAAAAGGCACGAATATAAATTTAATTCATTCAGAAAATGGCGCCAGCAGCGCTCTCTCGCGGTAGGAAATAGGAACTAACGAAGGACCTGTTTCAAAACCCAGTAGTTCACCCTGTTCGCCGGAGAGATGGCGCCACCAGTCCAAAAATAATTTTTATCGTTTTTCCAGGTTAATACTCGTTAATACACCTCAAATTACTTCAAGAAGCAATTCTAATTCACTTTAGAATGCTCTGAAAGTATTAATAACTCGGAAATGTTGATAAATCCATGAATTGTAGTCTTGATGTAGTTTCATTAGTTTCTAGATTCCACCGCCAGATAGCGTCAGTGAATTCGTAGCCAGTGCGCGCGAAAATATGAAATGTGAAAGCAAGATTTCCAAAATTCTTTCAAATTATTTTTGTCATATTATGTCAATAAAGTGAAATTGTGAATGAACTGTATTATTTGTCGATTTAGGAAATGTTCTTTGCAAATTAAGCATGATGTGTGCTCCTGTTATTTTGTGTGGTTGAAACCTGTTCTCCTCGACTGCTATTTTCTTCAAAGAAGGCAGACTTGTAAGTTATGAGAGGTCTCTTAAATTTATTAAAGACGAGCAAAAATTTTATTTCGTTCGTCTCAATCGAATATCCTTGAAATAAAATACGAAGTAGAATAAAGAGCTACGTATAAATAAATAATAACGCTTCAGTTATCCCATTATATTTTCCAGCTTTATTATCTTATACTATAAACTAAATAAATTGCAGTTAAAATCCTCATTATGCTACAGACAAAAATATGATCTAATATTTACAAATGAGGTGTGTAACGCAAGCTTAACAATAAGTTCTCAAAAATTTGATATTATGTATATCGACAAGTTCGTTACAAGACGGCACAGTATGCAAGATACACCTTGTCATCCACTTGTTTAAAAATTATCAACAATTACAAGACGGCTCTCCACGGTGCACACCAAAAATCTATATTATCATAGAAATTATTGTATAGAAATATCCCCAGTCAGCCACTCTGCAACATATTATGCTGTGCCCTATTGTAAGAAGTTGATTGTTCTCCGTTGCGCAACAGATAACAAAAATTATACGTGTATCCGTTTAAGAAATCTGTTGAAAAAATTCTAAGACCATCGTCGTTCAATTTAATTACTTCTCACACTATTTACATGTGATTTTTTATTTCTTTTTTTCTTTCGTTTCTTTTTACCTAAAAGTAGCGATAAAATAGGACGTCTAATTTCTATTTAGAATCAATCACGGATATACGATGCTCGATTAATAGTCGGATTCTTCGGGTATTTAAACATCGAAAATTATCGTACCTCGCGATTACAGCGATTTCATAATTACAAAGAAGAAAATTGTTCAGTGAGCTTTACGACGATTAACCGAGCATTACTATAATCATCTTTAACTCGACAGTGCATCGTGGGGGAACCTTCATTCTTAGAAAAGTATATCTTTGCCAACTTTTAGCAATATTCAGTCTACCTTGTCCTCTTTTAAATTTTAGGATTTACAGAAGTTTAGAATTATACAACACAACTGTAAATGCGACATCTTCCTGCAAGTTGTACTAGTTCACATAATTTAGTAAAAATATCTTCTGAAACAAATCCAGCAAGATATATGACTTGTTTCACTATTTTTTTATGTATTTTATTTTCAGTAAAGAATCATGAAAACCCACAAACTGTAGCACAGTCAAATGTCACTTTTGTAGCACCCCACGTGTTTCAAAAGGTTGCACTGTCAGGTTAAAATGAACAATACAAATCAGAGAGCAGAAGAAAATTCTTTTCAAATGGATGAAATCCAACAGTAAACGCGTTAGAACAGGAAATGAATGTCATGTACACAGTTACAGTAAACTATCGTTATTGTCACCCTTACATTTCGTCACTCTAAAATGTTACAACTGTTATAATATGAAATACCAATCAAATATATTGCCAGCTCTAAACACTGTTTCTATAGCTTTCGAGGTGACATTATAATGATAGTTTACCGTAATATGAGAATATCCTCGTGGTTGAATGAGAGTATGGTAGTTATATCACTATATGATTTCTCGGTTTAGAAACGTTTACCATTTGTCACTTTTACGGCATGATATACTCCTTACTCCTATGTTACATGTACGATAAGATACTGGCGTTTTGAAACGATACATTACACAGCGAGACGTTTGGCAAAAGGAAGGAAATAAAAAGAGGAAACGAAAATTTTGTACAATGCAATTGGGACTTTGAGTTCCGTTGACGTAACTGGGATCTCTTCTGGGGTGGAGGTTTCTAATTTTATGGAAGAGGCTTCAGAAATTTGGAAATTCGGAAAATTTGGGAATTCGGAGATTTGGGAATTCGGAAACTTGGAAATTCGGGAGCTTGGGAATTTGGAAACTTGGGAATTCGGAAATTCGGGAAATCGGAAACTTGGAAATTCGGAAAATTTGGGAATTCGGAAATTTGGGAATTTGGAAACTTGAGAATTCGGAGATTTGGGAATTCGGAAATTTGGAAATTCGGAAATATGGGAATTCGGAAGTTTGGGAATTCGGAGATTTGGGAATTCGGAAACTTGAGAATTCGGAAATTTGGGAATTCGGAGATTGGGGAATTCGGAAACTTGAGAATTCGGAAATTTGGGATTTCGGAAGTTTGAGAATTCGGAAATATGGGAATTCGGAAACTTGGGAATTCGGAAATTGGGGAATTCGGAAGCTTGGGAATTCGGAAACTTGAGAATTCGGAGATTTGGGAATTCGGAAATTTGGAAATTCGGAAGCTTGGGAATTCGGAAATTTGGAAATTCGGAAACGTGGAAATTCGAAAATTCGGAAATTTGGGAAATTCTGCAATTAAATTTGGAAATTTAGGATTCGATAACTAGGAAATTTGCAAATTTGCAAATCCGTAAATTAGAAAATTTCTAAACGTCCAACAAAAAGTAAGTTCGCCTCTCACCCAACCCCCGTTACGTCACCGATAATGAAATAAATTGACGTTTTTTTTTCAGTACAGCATATTTTGCATCGTAACGTCTCCATAACATTCAGCTAAAATTAACACGCAGCAGACACCGTGAAATTAATCGTGAAATACAAGTCTTGTCATTTATTTATTCTTACGGAGATTTACCACTTCCAGTTAACCCGTTCCGTTTCAAATCATCGTTTCACAATACTCGAATGAATATTTCTTAACATCGGTTTTATTATAACATAAAGTCTACAAAATTATTGCGTGTTACATTTCGTTACACCTTTTCTTTCCTTTTTCATCTTTCTTTTTACCGTTAGTACGTTGGATCGTTTGTTACAATTTACACGCATCAATAAGTTATGGCAAATACGTAGGATAGCTTTCAAATAATATATTTAACATTCGCCATATTCTATGTAGGACGGCCAGTTGAAAACGTTTTTATACATCTCCCTTATCAAACGATTAAAAAGACATACTTCTTTATCTTCTTCTTCTTCTTCTTTCTTTTATTCAGCTCGAAATCGATGCACGAAGTGGATTTTTCTCACTTGTTAACACGTCTCAGATTCTTTTAACGCATCGTTCAAAGGAAACGCGAATTCTTCGAATACAAGAAATTGTGTCAGCTTCAACGTAAAATGCGTAGAAAACGAAAACGCGTGGATCGTATCGTTTTGTCTCTCGAAATCGATTTTGTTTCCCTCGAGTTCGCGCGATTCTTCTACCCTGCGTGAATAGAAAAACAGTTTCCCGTCTAGAAAAATACTGTTTATCAACTCGGCGAAGAGAAAAGAAAATATGAGAAAAAAGACAACGAAGGACCAGAGGATTTGTCGCTCGAAGACAGTTCAGAAGTCGTCAGAATTTTTTTTTTTTATATAACAATGCTCGTTCGATACTAAGTAGTAATGTCACGCATGAAAATTTGAACGTTCACGGATATCAAGTAAAATCATTTACGTTTCGATTTCCGTATAAAATTATAGTTCGCTTTGTACACTTCTTCTTCTTCTTTTCCCTCCATCTTCACAGTTTGCTTTTTTATTTTTTTTTTTCTTTGTTACTCTTTCTTCCCGCTCGTATCGTGAAATTTCAATGTGTGAACAAAGATCATGACGCGTGTGTAACACGAGTTTCGCGTGTCTAAATTTTCTCTCAGGCATTAATTACAATCGTTTCATTAAAATACGATTACATCGTACGTTCTACGATCGCGTTTGAACAGTCGAACATCGAATAACAACGAATTTCTAATGTTCTCTCTCGTTGAGCGTGGGATTAATTAAACGAGGGTACAGGAGCGAGGGTGGGACTCGTTTCAATTTGGAATGTTTCTACTTGAAGTTTCATTGCTTCTTTCTTTTCTTCTCTTTAACACTTTGACGGTCTTTATCGAAATAAATCTCGTAATTTTGTATTTACTCGCAGAGTTGCGAGGTAGTGATGTATTTAAGCGTAGTAGGCTTCTTTAGGAAAAATGCTGATTTCGAAAATCATTCACAGTACTTTGGTGTTATTAAAAATTCTAATTTGTATAAGGGACGAGAAATTTGTAGATTGAGGAAATTGCAGACCTAGAAATCTGACTTGAGGAATTTAGAAACCTGATAGTTTGAACATCTTTGTACAAACTGACTCCTCCGCCATTTTTCCCAAAGAAACCACGCTTTTATACATCACTCTTTCTGAATTAATACATGAAATAAAGAATAGTAACACAAAACATTAAGTATAAAAATGGCGACCATCGAAGTGTTAACGAAACATTTGACGGATTTAGTATCCGTAACCATTGAAGATCGTTTATCATTTTGATTTTCCTACATGCTCGTTTTCCTACACGATCTACTGCGTTTGCCAGCAGCTATAAAATTATTGTAACGTACTTGGTAATCTGCAGTTTATAACACGGGGATGCTTTGTTATATTATCACTCTCTTCGTTGATTCATCAATAATGCTTCACCCGTGTTCGATAAAATCTGTCCGACTAGCGATAACAATGCTCTCTATCCGAGATGAGAAATGCCAATATGAGTACGTTTATTTGATTGAACCTCTTTTCCAAAGTAAACTGAATTGATTACATGGCTTTCGGCGAACGGAAAACATGCCATATGTTTACTCTTCTTTCGGTCTCTTCGTGGTGCCTCCTTTGTTCGTAAAATGCACGTGTCACGCGTTTGAACACATAAGGAGAGCGTATCTGTACGGGATATCAAAAAAGATCTCAGGAGTTATGCAGCAGACTATACTCATTAACCTTCTTCCGGATTTTTGAATTTCGTGTCACTGGAGATCAATATCCAGCCTATATTCGCTCAGATTCAAATTTATAAAATTTTAAATTAAAAAATCTTTTAATAGAAAATTTCAAATTAAAAGTTTCCAGGCGTACGCATTACCAAAATAGAATTTAAGAAACTAAACGTGTCGACATCCTTGAAGAGGTTAATGGCTCCTGAATTCTTTCCGTAATTAATCTGTACATTTCGCACGAATATAAAGTAAAATACGCTTCTGGGTCGTTAACGCGTCGTGCAGCTCGTTTAACGAAACAATTTCGAATTTCAACTTGGCCGTTTCTCGTATTTCGCGCGACTATTCAATGAAAACCTGTAATCAGCTCATTTTACGTAAACTCGTAACGAGGATCGTTGACGACCCATTATACGGCTCGTAATGACGCGCTAATCCGTTCGTTTGGCTCGTGTATAATGAACGTGACAATGTCGATGAAGAATCAAAGATTTGTACGTTCGTATTGTACATACAATGATGGCATGGTTATGGGGCGCACAATAGTTGATCGAAACGCGTGTACAAATAAATCTATGTATGTATGTATAATGATTTGATTCTTATACGCTAGAATTTTGATATGATGTAAGTGTGTAATTATATTCCTCGTAGACTGTTTTAGTATTATTATTATTATTTATTATTATTTATTATTATTATTATTTATCATTATTATTATTACGTTTTTTTTGCATTTAAGAATACCATTTTATTTTCATTTAAGTTCATCATTTTCGTTTAAACAGCAAATAGAGTCAGGCGTATAGTTTAATATGATACACTAGCACGTTAAAATTAATCCCCCTTTTTCCTCGGAAGTTCCATGGCATTTGCTAAATAGTCTGTCTCTTTCATCGTTATACAGCTCGTGGTGTGTGCAACTTGAGATCAACTTGGTAAAAGAAAAGATAAAGAGAAAAACGGACATTAATTATAGACACAGAGAGAAAGAGACCCGGATAAAAGGTGGAGGGATAACGATGGTGGAAAATTGTATTCTCGAAAAAGGGTGGCGTATCGTGACGTGCTCTCTACGCTTTTATACAAAGAACATATGGAGTGTCGCAGGTTTGTCACGACAAAATTCTATGGGGGACAAAATGTCGTACAAAGGTTGGCCATAAATATTACAAATTATAACAAAATTATTATACGAATATTAAGATTGATTTTTATTTTGTCACGTGATACTTGTCTACTAACAGTTCATACTTTGTTCTAATTTCTGATAAAACAATTTAAGTTATTCTACATTCCAATAACGCATTAAAATTGTATTGCTTCATTGCTTGGTCCTTAATGAATTAATTCTATCAAATCTACTGTTTTACATTTGCTTGTTTACAATAAAATGTCCGTAGCCAACCTTCACGCAACATCTATACGAATAAACCCCCATGCTTTGTCCAAAGAATCTGAAACACCCTGTACATTAATACGATGCTAAAAGAAAAGCGTCCTTTTCTTTCAACAGCATATCGCGCTCGATTTCATCGTGTCACGCGTTTCAAAAATAACCCATGACAGGTGAGAGATAAAATTCGTAGAATGATTTGTCCGAACAAAGGAAATGATTTCTACACGGGCGACGAACAGAGAGCTTCGACGACGATCGCTTCTTATATTTCGCTTCATTCATCCTACTCCCTTTGCAAGACTTTAAAGTAATATTGTAACGTCAAAGGAACTGTACAACAAGCTTATTACAGAGTAGCTTCCTTTCCTCGTTTTCCTGTATACAACGACATATTGTTTGTCTACCTCGTGATCGAACGAATAAAATCCTGGCGAACGATATTTTATAATTCGACGATTACACTTGATCGTTTGTTTTCTTGTTTTCGTAACTTTATTTCTGATGATAGTCCATGAGTGTTTGTTTATTCGCAACTTTTTCTCAACTTACGCGCTAAACATTTTTCTCGTTACTTTTATAAACAGCGTTCATAGAGTCTACCTCTTAATCTCTATTGTTTCAAGAAACAAAAAAAAAAAGAAATGAGGACAGAAAGAGAAGTATGAACAAACGGAAGGCAGCGGCATTCTCGAGCAATAAAATCGATCGTAAATCAAAGGAGAATAATGAAACGTTAAATATCGTTACTGCTAGCCATCCCCATAAACCTATCGTTTCGTATCTGCATGCACTCGATACACCGATTGTTCGATCGAATAATCCTTTTAAAACTGAGTATGTTTCGATAATAAATCAATAAATATTATTCAGCGTATTTGAGCAAGAACAGAAACTACAATGCAGTCGCGCTATATGGCTCCTCGTAATATGGCTCGTGGACTATGCATATCAATGGCCTTCCTCCGTTTAGAGAAATTTATAAATTTACATACATATAAATTATTTAATTTATAAATCGAGGGTCTTAGAAACTTCGAATTTGGACATTTTCAATTCGACAGTTCTTGAAAATTCAAATTTACAAATTTTTATATTTACACATTTTATTAAATTTAGAATTGAAACAATTTAGAAATTTACAAATCTAGGGGCTTTTGGAAATAAATTGTTGGTTAGAAGGAGTTCCATTTATATGGGTCTTTCCACAATTTTTCCCTCTCCTATATCCCTGCTCAGGGTCATATAGCGAGACTCCACTGTTCGTATCCGACGGTATCATTTCTTTTTTCTTTTTCTTCGCCTTACATCTACTTTCTTATAATCGTTCGATATCACTCAACGTCTTATCAATTATAATAAAAAACTTCAATAATACTTGGAAACAACTTGTTAAGAAATATTTCCTATTCATGATCATTTTTGTTCCTGCCAAGGAAACATGATCCTTTTTACAGAGGTTTACGAGGTCAAGCAGATATCGACGATTTCGAACAGGTGTACAACATTGTCCGCCGATGTTTCGTGCGAAATAAATTAAATAAACTCCGACAATCGTGAATTCCGACGAATTTCACTACATAAGAACATTATATATCTATATATATAATATATATATGTATGTATATTATATACACGTATTATGCATTGGTAAGAGTCATAGTAATTAATTACAGTAGCATAGTTTGAGTATAGAATAGGCTACAACTTATCGTAACGTGGTTTGGTTGGACCTAACTGTAATCAATACTCGCGATTTAAAAACGTGGATTGATCGTTGGGTCTACGAAATGACGTTCCTAGGCCCGATCGATTGAAAAATGGACGGGTGAGAACAGAATAAAGGGTTTAAAAGGAAAATAAAGGTCGAAGTAGACGCGGTGGAGGGCAAGGAGTGGGTTCGAAGAGGATCAACGAATAACCATAGAGGGGATATTTCGGAAAAGAAGGATTTAACAGGTGATATATTTGAGTTCTTTCTTTTTTTTTTTTATTTAATTATAACTACCATTAGAGATCCAATGTTCTTTTCCTCTGCAATCTTATCCAGAATACTAAACTCTCAAAGTGGCGTCATAATATTACTTTAAATTCATGATAATAAAGTCTATCGTGTATGAGAGTTCAAACTGTCTGTCAACATGTCTCATACCATATTATATATATATATACCTTTTTTTATATATATAATATATAATTTTAATAATAGTATCGTATATATATATAATATATTCACTACCTGCATATCACAACATAAATCTTTACTCTCTTCCTCAAACGCGATACACTCGCACGTCCTTGCACATCGCACGCACGCACACACCCACGCACGCATACATACACACGCGATATCCCGTCTACAATTAATAATTACTATTTAACGCTGCGGTAGTCGGATAGTGGTTGAGTTTCTAAGCATTGTAGCGCCGTTCAAGAGAGCGTTTCATCCCCTTCGAAGGCTCTACGTCCTAATATCTCTCTTCGTCGAAAGAAAAGAAAATGATAATGACATTTCGTCGTACTAGAGAATTAATATCGTTCACGTTGATCACAGGAGACCGTAGTCGGCCGATGTGTCTCGAAAACGAACCCATCCTGGAACGGAACCGCGACGAGTCTCCTGTCGTGAGTCGACGGGTCATAAATAGACTTTCAGTGCGAATACACCGATCAAGTACATGGTAACAGCGAACAAAACGGACAGCTGTGTATTATGGGTTTGGCTCTGGACGCGTTACATCTCTTTTTTTATTAGTGAGAGTTTAAACGCGACACGATTACAATCCTGCTTTGTCTTCCGCGACGATACTCGGCGTGGACGATGACGATCGAATCGTTCACCTGGGACGGTGACCCAAAACTGCGTCGCGGATGAACCAACGTAAAACACCGTTATATATTTTCTTCGTTTCTTTTTTGGATCCGCGAGAAGGAAGGGTGCGACGATTTCGCCGTTGCTACACTGCTCACGAGCTCAGCCACTAAAACGATGATACACCAGCATCGAAACCTTAGAAACCATGGCTCAGCCTGAACGTGTGCCGGTTCTCACACGGTACGACCATTCAAAATATATCCAGGGCAGCCGACGACGTTTTATTTTTCATCTTTTTTTTTTTGTTTGTTTGTTTGTTTGTTCTTTTTGTTCCTTTCGTTTTTAAAGTATGCAACAGGAGGCTGAACAGCAACTACTTCCTCCGCCTTTACTTTTTTGCCTTTGATCTGTAACAAACAGGACGTCGTAATTAATATCTGGGTACATTTTAATATCTTGGTGGGTATAAGATTTTGATAAATTGCGAGTAGAGTTTAATACACTAAATATTTTATGTATGGAGTGTGTACTTGAAGTACAGTTAGGATCTCATTATAACACTATGTGAAGGAGTCAGATCGCCATCACGCATGGTTGATGCGTTGTACAGGGGACACATTGTATTTCGCCGCGTTGGACAATTGTGCAGTCACATTGTATAATCGACACGTTGTATAGTCGACGCGTTGCATAACCGACACAGTATGTACTCAATGCGTTGCATACACGACGCGTTACACAATATTGTGTACTCGAAGTGTTACTTCACGTTTTATACAATTGTCTATTCGATACGATGTGTACTCAATGGGTTGTATACTCAATACATTGTATGCTTGTACTGCACCCTTTGTTTGTGGCAATCTAATTATATCTTACTATACAGTATTACCTTCCTAACAGACACATCTTAAATCAGAAAACGAAACAGAGAAAGTAAATTACTATAAATTAAATATCCCGTAGATAAAAAGTTAAGCAGCAGAATTACGAATAAGTCGGTAGTTAAGGAATTAGAGTGAAAAACAGTGAAGATGTCAGATTACCACTTAGGGAAGTAGAAATCTTGCCACCGAAGCGACACAAGCAATACCGTAAAACGCTCTAAAAAATGAAGAAAGAAAAGAGCGAGTTATAATCGCGAGCATTGTTATTTTTAAAGAAGCATAACGCGTATCACGTTTATCTGCAACCCTTCCGGATAGCAGTAAGTCGCGATTCTCATGTTCTCAACTTCCGCGTATGAATCAGAAAAACGAGACGACATATTTCTTTCTCTGCTTCGTTTCTCCGGGAATATATTTATCTCCATGGAATCACCGTGTCTACCGAGCACAAAGAGGATATTTGTCAACGTCCGTTACAAAGGCAATACCTCGTAATATGCGGCAATTAAGTACCATGAGTTCTGCCATGCAATTTCTTGTTGGAAATCGTGACGGCCGGGAACAGGGATCGTGGATGTAGGCTCACTTTGGATTTAGGACAGAGTGGTTTTTTTATTATCTGAAGTTGGTGTACTCGATGTCGGTGGGCTGGACGTGCATGTACTCGCCGTTCGGCAGAAGACCTGCAATTCGCAAAAACGCCACTCCGATCTTTGATGTAATTTTTTTATCGATTACTTCACAAAATGATGCAATTTAGACAACATTGACGCATTCGAGGTGAATCCTTATGATCTCGAATCTTATTACAGGATTTGAGACTGATACATAGTACAGATATTCTAAAGCTTGTAAATTTTCAATATTAGAAATTTGGAAATATAAAATTTACAAATGTGGAAAAGGAAATCTGGGAACATGGGAATGATTTCCAAACTTGGCAAGTTTCAAACTTTCACCTAACTTTTCAATTCAGACTCGACAACAAGTCTGAAGATCTACAAAGTTTCTGTAGAAACGTACAAGATTTAAGAATTAGTACAAACAAGAAACAGTTCTGTAGATACACAAAACTGTTACTCGAAGTTTTCAACCGGGCAGTTTGTGAAATAAAAAGGAAACACGCGTGAAGGGTTTCTAACAAAAATAGGCGAGCAGCATCTCCAATAAAAAGCAGTCCGATACGCGTGTTTCCTTCTTCCGAATCCGAAGAGGGTTAAAGGCATCTTGGCTCGAACCACAAAGGCATCTTTGGTACTCCATCTACAGGTCGACGGTTTACCTTGAGAATTAGGCTCGGGAAGATTCTCTCGTGGGACCAGATGCATCACCGTGGTTTTCCCGAAAGGAAGCCCAAGAGCACCGAGCGTGACATTGCTGTGCAGAAAACGACCCTGGTAGATTAACCGCAGGATCTCCGCTTTAGCGACTGCCTCTTCCGCCCAGTCTGAAAAAACAAAGAGCCTCGTATCAGCCACGACCTTGTCTCGGGATATTTCTACTTTTTCCACCGGACTGACGAAAGTAAAAATGCGTTCGCCAGCCCGGAAAACGCGGCCGTTTCACGCTCGTGATTTCATCCAACCCTTTTTCCAGCATGGTCTGGATGAATTGTCAAGTTCATCTCCCGTTTCTCTCTTTTTTCGAACTCGTACTTTTGGTTTTTATCTTTTCTGGGAACACAGATATTTCTTGGAAGATGTATTGAAATTTTAGTATTTTAGAGACATGGACATATTAGGGATATATGTCCATACATGGAATAGTATATGAAATCTGGATCGGTTCACATGAATCGCATTAGGGATAAGGTTCGTCAAAGAATTATAGCCGCGAAGAAATAAAAAATTGACACGCTCGATCTTTTATAATTGCCAGAAGGCAATTCGAAGCAGCAAAAGAGAATACATTTCAATATTGAACGAGTTGAGAATTTGCATGGAAACGGATTCGAAGCGATCTTTTCGCGACGTTTACCGCGCTACAAAAAGAGCAGTCCTAGTTCCTCTCTGCTAGTTCTTTTTATTTGTTACGAGACATTGGGAGCAGTCTCTACCCGTGGAGAGGTCGCATATTTTCGGTAGCGTACAAAGGAGCTTACAAAGCGAAAGCTGTTACGGTGGATCCATCAAAGGGAACAAGCGACTCGGATGACTTTTCGGATGGCAAAAGAAATTTTGTTCTTGTTTGACACTTTGGGTCCAACTTTGATGGATTTCTTTCGCGGCGATGGGGTGAAAGGGATTCTTTTAAAATCAAGTTGAATGACGTAAATGACTCGTAAGCGATGACGTAGCGGTGGGTCGATGAAGATTCATTTTATGGTAATGTCAGAGGGAACGGGGTCCCAGAATAACCTACCTTCCGGCCAGTTTTCAAACACATGGTGCGCTATGTCCCCCGCAGAGTCGCTCGGACTGAATAGGAACTCTTTTGTCTTACCGCTGACAAGAATGAGACGTAGGTTTATCTGAAAAATATAAAGAATACATCGTCATTAATGTTCTCTCCTTTCATATTAAACATATTAACTCTTAATAGTATATATTAATTCTTAATGGACTACATTACACTTTTGCAGTCTGGTTTTGCACCCTAAGTCATATAGGGTGTCATATCACTTGCACCTTGAGGATGTAGATTCTTTGCCTAGTTTTTCATTTTTATGCGCATTGGGTTTTAAATTGGACAAAAGTTGAACCTGTTTTGCTTTCGAGATTTTAGTAAGTCCATAACTGGAAATGGCAAGCACAAAAGAGTTTCTGTGAAAGACGAAGATGAAACATCCTCAAGAAAATTGTTGGAAAGATATTCTCAAAAGCTTTGCGAAGTCTGCAGTTCAAAGAAGCGAAACAAGATGTACATCAGCAGGAATGTTACAAAATATTCTTAAGAACCAGACACGTAAACAAATGTGTGAAATTTTATGCATGCTTATCCAATTCTCTTAAAAATGTCTGGAAACCGAGAGAGAAAAAAGCAGTTTATTAAGTGTTAACTGTACGACCGTTTAGTAATGTAACACAAAGGATCCATATATCAATTCACAATGTATAATATCTCATTACTTTTATTTATATATTTATTCTGGTATATTACCTGAGTAAAGCGAAGTATGCAACCATTCGAATAACTATAATCATACAGCACTAGCGTGCATGGAAGTAAAAAAGGGTACGAGGGTGTACTTAAAAATCGGAAAAGGATAACTATCGATGTACCATAATTCTCAGTTTAAAAAAATTGTAACAAGGCACGGGTCGAAATAACTCGATTAAATCACCACCCTCGGCGTTTGCAAATTATTTCCGGATTCGAGGCCGGTAATTCTTCGTCCCCTCTATTACACGGACTTAGAAAATGAACTCGGACAAAAGCTGGGACTACGCATCATCCATGGCACCCTTCGCCAGTTTTTTTGGCCCTCCCTTGCAGGCGTACACGTGTCGTAATTTTCGTCCGTGTAAATCCACCGCTCTTAATTTTCGCTTCCTCGCTGTACACTTTGAATCACAAATGTGGTTCGTGCCCCTACGAGTCGTATCTCTTCATCACGCGTGCAACTTGGAGGGTTCAACGGAGAACGCGTAGCAGGGAACAAAGGAAAAAGGAAAAAGAGTACACTCCGCGGGCACATTGAAAAAGCTCGAAACACAGTGGGACAAGGGTACGTGGAGTGAATGGCATTTACGGTTCACGATGTACATATATGCTTTAACTCTTATCTGTCTTTGCTTAGGGACCGTATGAAAGGGAATTAGTCCCGACTTTGTCCTAAAACCCTTAAGCCTGACTTTTACGTTTCGGTCACGTTTACGAGCCCCCGAGCGATAAACGAGTCGAAAAGTGGAATTTTTCAGCGGATTTTTGTGTTCAGATACAAATATTGCAACATCTTTTCTCGCTTTCGTTTGTTCAACAAATTATCGGATATTCGAGTCGCAAGATACCAACGAGATACTTGTGCTTATTGATAAGTTTGATGGATAGCAATGTTAGATACCTATGTCAGATAGCTGCGTTTATTCGTACGTTTCTAACTACCTACGTTCTTAGACATCTATGCTCCTAGGTCGGGTCAGTAAAGTTTCTACGTTATTTCGAACGGAGTAATTCCTCTAGGAGACGCTGCGACTTATCGTCGGTCTCGAACGCGTTAACGAGGCTTCAATTGTCGTAAAAGCCAGCACGTTTCGTTCACGCGACGACAGGGACAATTAAGACCGTATTAATCGTCTCGGTTTCTCTCTTTTTCCCTCGTTTCGCCGGACGGCCGGCGAATTACGGTCACTGACCGTTCTCCGGACGCAAATTCAATTACCGTCCCGCGTGAAGACCGACCAACATAAATAATTACCGACGAAGCCAGACTCGCGGGGGAGGGGTGTTGTTCGTGACCCTTCGTGGTTCCTGCGGTCGCGAGAATCCGTTGCTAGAGTTGTTGCGACATAAATCATTGTCACCCTGAGGGCCGAATTATCGCCCGACAACGCGCGAACCATCCGCTGCCCTTGCCACTCGCCCTAATGCAACAATTTTCGATTTTCTGTCACTACAAAGTTTCACCGATTCCTTTGTTGGAATTTCACAGGAGAAATTGAGAAAGTTTTTCGGCTCATTCGGAAATGTTTCGTGATGGAAAGGTGCGGACGAACACCTGTGGTATGCTAATTTCTTCTTTCATGTTTCATGCAAATTAAGTAGGTAATCTTGGTATTTTTAATTTGTTTCAATTTTGTATATAAATTTTCTTCTCTGATAAAATTTAGTTCCATTGAACTAAATAGGTACTGTCTTGGTATTATTAATTCGTTTCAATTTTGTATATAAATTTTCTTTTCTGATGAAATTTATTCGTATTGAAGTCCTATGTTTTGGGCAGTGTAGTTTATAATTTATAATGAGAGAACTGTTCATATTAAGCAGACAATCTATATTCACATTTCTGTCTTCTTGTGAACTAAATAGGGGTATGTTTTCAAACAAATTTTTATTAATTTTTTTCCAAAAGTAAAATCTTCCTATTGAAAGAAATCTTTTGTTTTCCTTTCAAAAAATGTTAAACTTGAAAGAATCTATATTAAATATATATTCAAAATGACTGACAAAGAACAGATATAAATTCTTTTCGGAAAAAAGGTAAATTGACATCGATTGATCTTACGAAAGATGCAACTACTTCCGCAACGACCTGTATATTTTGTAATTTCATAAAAGGCTTTCAGGTTAATTAAATTGATAAAGGTGGCCATAGATAGGCAATTATTCTTTCTTTTGTTATAAAATCAATTTCGGGTCGAAAACGATTAACCGTATCAGTTAGTTTATCCGCAAAACACCAGAATCGAAAGCTGGCCAATAATTGAGCGCAGAGGATAATAGGAAATTAATTAGTATCACCGAGTCGTAAAGCTTGCTTCAGGCAGCGAAAACAGAATTTAATGCGATGCAAAACTCGTTGATGTTCGCTAATGTTTCGTACTTTCTAATTAATTCATACGAAACGATACGTGTTGCTTATGATACACGGCTTAGATAAACATTGCTTTCAGAATGAAATGTTATCTATGAAAAATTGTATCTTATTTGAGAGCGGTCTTGATGATAGTGTCTCACGCGATGTCGCGTGCGGGATTGATATATTAATTTTACTACGCATTATGTTCGATATTGAGTTGGATTGTTGGGAGTATGATGTGGAAATTTTTGTCGAATTGAGGAAAGGTGAGAAAGTTGGAAATTTGAGAATTTGGGGGTTTGTAGAATTGGGGGATTGAAATTTAGGAATTTGAAGATTTGAGTATTGGGAAATTTGGGGGTGGAAATGTGGGAATTTAGGTATTCGGGAATTTGGGGATTCGGAGATGTAGGAATTCATAAATTTTAGAATTTGGGAATTTGGGGATTCGGGGTTTGAGAATTTGGGAATTTAGATATTTTAATATTGAGAAATTTGGGGGTAGAAGTGTGGGAATTTAGGTATTTGGGAATTTGGGGATTCGGAGATGTAGGAATTCATAAATTTTAGAATTTGGGAATTTGGGGATTTGGGGATATAGAAATCCACAAATTTCAGAATTTGGGAATTTAGGAAATTGGGGATGTAGGAATCCACAAATTTTAGAATTGGGGAATTTGGGGATTTGGGGGTGTAGGAATCCACAAATTTTAGAATTGGGAAATTTGGGGATTTGGGGGTGTAGAAATCCACAAATTTTAGAATTGGGGAATTTGGGGACTTAGGAGTGTAGAAATCCACAAATTTTAGAATTGGGGAATTTGGGGATTTGGGGGTGTAGAAATCTACGAATTTAAGTATTGAAAATGTGGAAATTGGGGGACGTAGAAATCCACGAATTCAAGTATTTAAGCTTGTGGGAATTTGGGATTTGAAAATTTGGAAATATAGAGATTTGAATATTTAGGAATATAGGATGTGGAGATCCAGAAATATAGGTACTTGAAAATTGCCAAAATTGGCAAAATGAGTAAAAAAATTTGAGAGAACTCAAAACCTTGATACCCAGATTTGAAAACAGAATAATTTAGAAATTTAACAGTTTAGAAACACCGTACTATAATCATCCACCTCTTTCTCAACACCCAGCGCACGTCGAGAGCCCTCGTTCACCCCGTTATTTACCCGAGTACGCACGTTTCGTCGATATTTCCCGTTTTTATTATTAATCCCACGTAGTTGCAGCCTTCTCGTGTCTTTTCTTAACAAAACGTACTGTACGTGTACACGTACATCCATATTTAACGTAGCCGGGGTGGCCACCCTTTTTCTTCCCCTCTATGTCTCCTTCGTCGCTTTATCTTTGAGAACTAATTGTTACTGAACATGCGGTTGAACTTCTCCGGGTAGAGAAGCCCAGGAGGCCGGAAAGTGTTGTCAAGCTGAAACAGCCATCCCTCCTCGGCTTTTAAAAAGCACCCAGTCGTGGATGACGCATCAGGTAGCACACGTTTTCCTCGTGTACACGCAGACGACCAGCGTGTGCGAAGCAAAAAACCGAGTATCGAATGCTACCGCATGAATAAGTCCCTTTGAACTTTCCACCACCCACGCTGCACTCCGAAAAATCTCGGTTTCAACCCCTTTCTCGCTCGATACACGTGTACCGGCTGGGTCTCTAACGTTAACAATGTTGCTGCAAGGTTACGTATCGTGTTGCGATGTGATCATTGCAACGATCTGCATTCTTTTTTGTTTAGGTTCTCAAGTTCACGATTTTTCACGCTTTGTAAATTTCATGTGTGGAATCTTTAAATTTCCAATTTTTAGATTTCTAAATTCTTAAAATTCGAAATTTTGGGATTTTCAAGGCACCAAGGTTCTCTCAAGCTTTCCAACCCTCGAATTTTTCCAATTTCCAGATTTTCAAATATACAAATTTGTGAACTTCCACATCCTCAAATTTCGGAATATTCAAATCTCTAAATATTCTAATTTAGGAAATTTCCGAA